CCTAAATGTGTCGTTTTTAGTACTTATGTTACTAATACTAAAATAAAATGTTAATAAATAAATATTAAGTACTTTACCCAAAAAGGTCCTACTGATAAAACATATAATAAGAATCAAAACACAGGCAAATGGTTATTAACGATTTTTCATAATTATTTATTAAGGGAAAGAATCATTCTAGGCTTTCCAAAAATATTGAAAATTCCAAGGTAAAATGTGTTTAAATGAACCAAATATTTGTATGCATCATTGAAACTAGTATTTTATTAATAAAACTGCGCAATTCATTGGCAATACAGATTCTCGGTGATATTTATAAAATAAAACAAAATTTTAGAATTAAAACTCACAATAATACAATTTTTTCTAACAATCATAAATCGTAGACTAATATTTCCACGATACATTTTATCGTTTGCGAGGTTTTGGATAGGCAACCTTAAATATTTAGATATTTTTTTACTGTCATCACTTTAAGCTCATCGCCAATGACTTTACAGAAATACTGAAAATGAGGGCTACCTGTTTAGGATGGCAATTCCAAGGTAAATTCTACTGTAAACTACTGACTGTTTTGTTATAGTAAGGTAATAGATTTTTTATGGATTGAAAGCACCATTATGGACATCAGTAGTATGGACAAAGGTGCTGAACTTCATGTAAATGTTGACTTGGGTGTACTTTGAAATTTTATCACTTACGTGGGTAATACGCGTAGCATGAAGGTATGTTAGTAATTTATTCGAGGTTACCAGTCCTATTTTTACTATCCTTAAGTTTTGTATACCAGAATTTACGATATATTACGTCCTTTTATCAGCAAAGCTTGGTCCCCAAACGCTTAACTTAACAAGTAACATTTCGCCTGACGTCGCATACAATATGTTTTCCAAGCGTGATATAGTGTTTGTTTTCATATGCACAAGATGTAGCTGAAGCGGTCTTGAGTGTTTTTGTTCCATGAAATAGAACAACACTTTGAGCCTATCACTTGGCTGGAATAATATCTTGAAAATATAACACTTTTATCCTTCAAAACTACAATGTACTGAATAAAAAAACTTGATAATATTACGATGTTTTAGTATAGTAAAATGTTAAAATGTTACGTTGGTTGTGGATCCAAACACACATTTGAAAGGTTCTAGTTGTAGATTATGAAGTGAATGCAAAATAAGTGTCAATAATTGTTATAAAGTGAAGAATATTTTAGTTTCATTATTACAATATCAAGAAGCCAGTTTAAGTTAAATAAATACAATAGGACCAAGGTCAAAGTACAAATGGTACAAAGTCCAACCCCACAGAGGAGACGAACGACGAGGAAGTCTCAGTCTACGTTATGCCAAGGTACGTTAAACATGATAGTCATAGTGCGTTGTTGGTTAGTCAGGTTAAATTCAGTGTTAGACCGGCTAGTTATGTCTAAATCGTATAGGTTATGATTAGGCAATTATTAAAGAACACTAAACTATTTCATGGCGACGAGTATTTTAAAGTGAGTTTCTTTATTTTGTGCGCGCTTTTAAAAGTATATTTTGCGTGAAGTGTTTCCTTTTTGTTGGTGCAAGAGAGAAGGAATATTCATTTTAACAAGGAACGGCAAACGAGCAATTAACATACAATCAGCTAAATCCAGAAGCAACGGGTGAGAACAGTGAAGAAAGGAGTGGTTGTACTTGGGAACGGATTGAAGAAGGCAGGTCCAATAACAGGAACAGCTCCAAGATAACAGGTCCAGTATTGCCCTGCAAGCATTTCCAGTTCCAGTTACACCAGGTCGGTAAGCAGTTACCAAGAAGTAATAAGTTTTGGAACTGTTAAACGTAACAGGTACAGAGAGATTTCTGTAAGTAGACACTGGTTGACTCACTGAAAGCACGTTGCACGGGTTGGATTAGTCATCAGTGTGTCGTGGGCAAACTTTCTTGTCAGAAATTGCCAAAACTTGATGTTGAAATTGAAGAGTTTGTGAAGAAGTGCAGTATCTATCAGAAGACTAGGAAATCAATGCCAGTGGTCCCGTTACAACCATGGTCATGGCCAAACCGCAACTGGCAAAGGCTACATCTAGATTTTGCCGCCTATGAGGGGAAAGATTTTCTCATTCTCGTTGATAGTAGATCCAAATGGCCCGAAATCTTCCACATGAAATCTACAACTTCTGCTAAAGTAATAGAAAAGCTAAGAACCTGTTTTGCAGCTTACGGCTTACCAAATACTGTGGTAACAGATGGAGGTACTCAGTTCACGTCTCAAGAGTTTAATGACTTTCTGAAGTTCAATGGCATTCGGCATCTGGTTTCACCACCATATCATCCGGCTTCAAATGGCCTTGCAGAAAGGATGGTGCAGACAACCAAAGACGTCTTCCTGAAACAGCTTTTGGAGGATTCAAAAACCACTTTAAACCGAACCCTACAACATAGGCTAGACAGCTTTTTGTTCGCCTACAGGAACACGCCACACTCAACCACAGGCATGACACCTGCCGAAATGTTTCTCAAGACCATCCCACGTACACCATTGAGTTTACTTAAGCCTCATTTGTCTGACGATATGAAGAGAAAGCAAGAAGAGACGAAAACGAGAGCTGATACCCGAAGAGGAAAACAGAGATCTTTTAATAAAGGAGATATGGTGCTAGTCCGTACTGTGAGACAAGAGAAGATAAACTGGCAGTCTGGTGTCATTTTCAAGGTTGTCAGTCCAGTAACCTATCTAGTTAATGTGGAAGGTAAAACAAGATTCATACATGCAGACCACCTTAAGTTGAATCCATCACATGAAGATGAAGAAGAACAAACGTTACCTAGACCAGATGAAAACACAAGGACAGAAGAAATTGCAGCACCGGCAATTGAATATTCTCCTAGGCAAACCCCAACAAAAAGCCCAAGTAAATCCCGGACAAGACCATCATTACCACAAAATCAAGACTCTCAAGAATCACCAGGAATAATCAAGTCTCCAGAAAGAGTAAACTTGAAGAGTCCAGACTCATGTATCAGGCGTTCAAACCGAACAATAAAACCGCCTGATAAACTGAACCTGTAGAGCATAAGAAGAGAGTCTCCCTCCCTAAGAAGAGTTTTTATTTAGAGTGAATGTTTTATTTTTATAAGTAGGGAGGGAATTGTTATAAAGTGAAGAATATTTTAGTTTCATTATTACAATATCAAGAAGCCAGTTTAAGTTAAATAAATACAATAGGACCAAGGTCAAAGTACAAATGGTACAAAGTCCAACCCCACAGAGGAGACGAACGACGAGGAAGTCTCAGTCTACGTTATGCCAAGGTACGTTAAACATGATAGTCATAGTGCGTTGTTGGTTAGTCAGGTTAAATTCAGTGTTAGACCGGCTAGTTATGTCTAAATCGTATAGGTTATGATTAGGCAATTATTAAAGAATACTAAACTATTTCATGGCGACGAGTATTTTAAAGTGAGTTTCTTTATTTTGTGCGCGCTTTTAAAAGTATATTTTGCGTGAAGTGTTTCCTTTTTGTTGGTGCAAGAGAGAAGGAATATTCATTTTAACAAGGAACGGCAAACGAGCAATTAACATACAATCAGCTAAATCCAGAAGCAACGGGTGAGAACAGTGAAGAAAGGAGTGGTTGTACTTGGGAACGGATTGAAGAAGGCAGGTCCAATAACAGGAACAGCTCCAAGATAACAGGTCCAGTATTGCCCTGCAAGCATTTCCAGTTCCAGTTACACCAGGTCGGTAAGCAGTTACCAAGAAGTAATAAGTTTTGGAACTGTTAAACGTAACAGGTACAGAGAGATTTCTGTAAGTAGACACTGGTTGACTCACTGAAAGCACGTTGCACGGGTTGGATTAGTCATCAGTGTGTCGTGGGCAAACTTTCTTGTCAGAAATTGCAAAGTTTTGCTTAAATCTGCTAAAAACTGATTTTTAAATGTTTGAAGCTATTTAAAGTGAATAAAAGTGTTTTAATATACAGGAAAAGTATTGCCATAGAAGATTATTGAAGTATGTTTTGATTTTAATGACTTTTAGTGTAGGCCTAGGACTTGTACTATGGCCAAGAGCATCATCGGTAAGTTGTCAGAGTTTGATCCAGAGCAGGAATCTTTTGAAAATTTCTCTGAAAGGCTAGAAAACTTCTTTTTAGTAAATTCAGTTAAGGATGAAGATAAAAAGAAATATTTTATCTCGTTTATGGGGCCTAAAATGTATGCCACTTTGAAAATCTTTTGGTTCCTAAGTTGCCTAAAGATGTAGCTTTTAAGGAAGCTTTGGAAGCTCTTCAAGCTCATTTTGCTCCGAAAAGGAATATTACATATGAACGTTTCCTTTTTAATAAGAGAAACCAGTTGGATAGTAAAACAATCTCGGAATATGGGGTTCAACTTAAAAAGCTAGCCTCAAAATGTAATTTTGACAGGTTTTTAGATGAGGCTCTCCGTGACAGATTTTTGTGTGGGTTGAAATCAGTTCAGATCCAGAGTAAGTTATTAGCAGAGGGGGATAGTTTAACTTTTGAAAAAGCCCTATCTACTGCATTAGTCATGGAAGATGCGGAGCACAATGTCAAATATTTACATAAAAATAGTGCTGTTGAGGTAAACTTTGTTAAAAACAAAAGTTCCGCACCGAAGGTTAGGCCTAAAAGTACAGGCCAAGATGCTAGGCCTAAAGTGTGTTACATGTGTCAGAAGGAGCATGATGCTTGGAGTTGTCCGTACAAGAAGTACGTATGTAATTTGTGTAAGCGAAAAGGTCACTTAGCGGCTGCTTGCCAACAGAGTAAATATAAAAGGTCTTCTTTTAAGTTTAAGCCTAAATCTAGGGTTAGTTATTGTGATGAAGATAACCTCAATCACACAATCTGTAGTGATGAGGATGATTCTGTTGATGGAGAGGAGTTGTATTTGAGTGATTTAACGGTAAATACCATAGCCTATGCTAATAGTTCTGGAACAAAGAATTTTATAGCAAAACTGTTTGTAAATAATGTACCATTGAACATGACTGTTGATACTGGAGCAGTAGTTAGTGTCTGCCCGGAGAAAATTTATTATGATAAATTGCAGCATGTAGTCCCAGCATTAAAGCGTTCATCCATTAGTTTGAAAACGTATACTGGAGACAAAATACCAACAATTGGTGAGTTTCAGGCTACAGTCTCCACCGATGACGGACAATCGAAGGTGTTGCCGCTCGTTGTTGTCAAAAACAAGGACCCAAATCAACCAATATTGATGGGGAGGAATTGGCTTCAGGAATTCAAATTGGATTGGTCTCGGATCAACGGGGGAGAAAGTTCCTCGCTGCTGGCAATTGGTAAGACTGTTCCAATTCATAATAGGATAAAAGATCTGAGGGCCAAGTATAATGATGTTTTTGATGGCAAGTTTGGGGAGATAAAAGATGTAGAAGTTAATTTGGTGTTAAAAGAAAATGCCAGACCGGTATTCTGTAAGCCACACAACGTCCCGTTTGCATTAAGGCCTGCAGTAGAAGTAGAGCTCAAGAAATTAGAAGATAATGGAATAATAAAACCTGTGACTCAGTCTGAGTGGGCCACGCCTTTGGTGGTGGTTCGAAAGGTTAATGGTACAGTTAGGCTATGTGGGAACTACAAAATAACGCTAAATCCTTGTGTAAGGACTGATCATTATCCTTTGCCCCTGCCTGATGAAATTTTTAACAAAATAGTAGGAGCCAAAGTATTTTGTAAATTGGACTTGGCAAATGCATACTTACAGTGCAAAGTAAATTCAGCTTCACAGGAGTTGCTTACCATAAATACTCATAAAGGGTTGTACAGATATCTCAGACTTCCTTATGGAATCTCAAGTGCAGGACCCTTGTTTCAATCTGTTATGGACAAAATTCTTTGTGGACTAAAGAACACGTATTGTTATTTAGATGATATACTGATAACGGCTGCTAGCAATGAAGAAATGTTTTTACATCTAGAGGCGGTCCTCCGCAGGCTTATGGAGTATGGAGTTAAAATTAATAACGAAAAGAGTGAGTTTTTCAAGACTAGGATCACTTTCCTAGGGCATGAGTTGGATGAAGCGGGTATTCATCCTTCTAAGGTACTTACGGAAGCTATTGTAAAGGCACCCAAACCAGAAAATGTGTCACAGCTTCGCTCATTCCTGGGGTTAGTTAACTATTATGGAAAATTTTTGCCAAATCTCTCTAGTATATTGTATCCATTGTACCAGCTTTTAAATAAAGATGTTAAATGGAATTGGTGTCAAAAATGTGAAGAGGCTTTTACAACAAGTAAAAACATGTTAGTGCAAAACAATGTTCTGCTTCCATTTGATCCAAATCTAGACATTGTAGTCTCAGCCGATGCATCACATTATGGTCTAGGAGCTGTCTTAGCACTTGTGTTACCCAACGGGTCTGAAAGGCCTGTAGCATTCGCATCGCGGACTTTAGGCAAGAGTGAGATTAAGTACGCACAAGTTGAAAAAGAGGCACTGGCTCTCATTTTTGCTGTGCGCAAGTTCCATAATTTCTTATATGGGAGGAAATTCATACTGGTGACTGACCATAGAGCATTAACATTCTTGCTTGGTCCCACCAAGGCCATACCCACTCTGGCAGCTGCTAGAATTCAGAGGTGGGCATTAATTTTGGCATCATACCAATATGATTTAGTGTACAAAAAGGGTGCCGATCATGGAAACGCAGATGCCCTCTCAAGGCTGCCATGCAAAGGAGAAGAGGAGGAGGAGATAGAAGGTGAAATAAACTTTTTTGCCCACAGTCAGAAATTTCCTATATCCTACAAGGAAATCGGGGTTGCGACAAAGTATGATCCGATTCTGTCGAAGGTCTTAGACCTTACTAGAAATGGCTGGCCTGCATACACGAATGATATACAGCTAAGACCGTATTCCGATAAAGCGTTGCAACTTTCAGTAGAAAAAGACTGCTTGCTGTGGGGCTCAAGAGTAATAATTCCCCGTGTTCATCAAGAAGAAGTGCTACAATTGTTACATACGGAACACCCTGGTGAGTCGCGTATGAAGGCAATATCTCGCAGCTTCGTTTGGTGGCCAAAACTTGATGTTGAAATTGAGGAGTTTGTGAAGAAGTGCAGTATCTGTCAGAAGACTAGGAAATCAATGCCGGTGGTCCCGTTACAACCATGGTCATGGCCAAACCGCAACTGGCAAAGGCTACATCTAGATTTTGCCGCCTATGAGGGGAAAGATTTTCTCATTCTCGTTGATAGTAGATCCAAATGGCCCGAAATCTTCCACATGAAATCTACAACTTCTGCTAAAGTAATAGAAAAGCTAAGAACCTGTTTTGCAGCTTACGGCTTACCAAATACTGTGGTAACAGATGGAGGTACTCAGTTCACGTCTCAAGAGTTTAATGACTTTCTGAAGTTCAATGGCATTCGGCATCTGGTTTCACCACCATATCATCCGGCTTCAAATGGCCTTGCAGAAAGGATGGTGCAGACAACCAAAGACGTCTTCCTGAAACAGCTTTTGGAGGATTCAAAAACCACTTTAAACCGAACCCTACAACATAGGCTAGACAGCTTTTTGTTCGCCTACAGGAACACGCCACACTCAACCACAGGCATGACACCTGCCGAAATGTTTCTCAAGACCATCCCACGTACACCATTGAGTTTACTTAAGCCTCATTTGTCTGACGATATGAAGAGAAAGCAAGAAGAGACGAAAACGAGAGCTGATACCCGAAGAGGAAAACAGAGATCTTTTAATAAAGGAGATATGGTGCTAGTCCGTACTGTGAGACAAGAGAAGATAAACTGGCAGTCTGGTGTCATTTTCAAGGTTGTCAGTCCAGTAACCTATCTAGTTAATGTGGAAGGTAAAACAAGATTCATACATGCAGACCACCTTAAGTTGAATCCATCACATGAAGATGAAGAAGAACAAACGTTACCTAGACCAGATGAAAACACAAGGACAGAAGAAATTGCAGCACCGGCAATTGAATATTCTCCTAGGCAAACCCCAACAAAAAGCCCAAGTAAATCCCGGACAAGACCATCATTACCACAAAATCAAGACTCTCAAGAATCACCAGGAATAATCAAGTCTCCAGAAAGAGTAAACTTGAAGAGTCCAGACTCATGTATCAGGCGTTCAAACCGAACAATAAAACCGCCTGATAAACTGAACCTGTAGAGCATAAGAAGAGAGTCTCCCTCCCTAAGAAGAGTTTTTATTTAGAGTGAATGTTTTATTTTTATAAGTAGGGAGGGAATTGTTATAAAGTGAAGAATATTTTAGTTTCATTATTACAATATCAAGAAGCCAGTTTAAGTTAAATAAATACAATAGGACCAAGGTCAAAGTACAAATGGTACAAAGTCCAACCCCACAGAGGAGACGAACGACGAGGAAGTCTCAGTCTACGTTATGCCAAGGTACGTTAAACATGATAGTCATAGTGCGTTGTTGGTTAGTCAGGTTAAATTCAGTGTTAGACCGGCTAGTTATGTATAAATCGTATAGGTTATGATTAGGCAATTATTAAAGAATACTAAACTATTTCAATAATTGATTCCCAGTTTAGACTTTATAAAAATAAAAAATATTATAACAAAATCACCAAGAGAAGCGAGTCAGGTAACAATTTATATAAGGGCGTGAGAAAACGAGATTGAAAATATTTACGAAATAAAGGATTTGTAAGTTTTTACATATTTGATTTTGTATAGTGACATATAAGTAATTAATTTAGAAAAGTCAGGTGTATGAAATTAACCTGATTCAAGTATATAAGAAGAAGTAAATCAACATTATTTTTTACCCCTGCTTGGTTGCCATTTTTGTAGTATTGTTAATTAAGTAAAGATGCCATTTTATGGTTTTTGCATTGATTGGATGTTTATTGAATGAAATATACCAAAGATGTTTATAAACTACCTATTTATAGTTTTGTTACATTGTTGTATGTGTTGGTTATGTTTGTTATTCGCAATTTAGACGACAATTGACTTATTTAAAATGTATTTTTAAGTCACTAAATGTAATTTATTTTACTATTGAGACAAAATTTCGTGAACATAATTTTGAAGACAAATACGCTGTAGGTTGACCATAAACCATTTACATAAATGCTGGGTTAAGAGTTCAATATGTGCGGGTTTCGAACCAAAGAAACACAGAATAACTGCAATTGCTTTGCAAAGCCTGTCTGGCAAGAAAACAACACGTAAGGGTTATCTGACCTACGTCGACAACGGTGCCAAACCAATTGGTCTGGCTATTACCATGTACTGTATTTATACTGTTAATATAAACACGTTGATTGTTAGCTCCATATAGTCTGTGTGTATGACAGTGTAAGGTTATCTGACCTACGTCGACGACGCTGCCAAACCAATTGGTCTAGCTATTACCATGTACTGTATTTATACTGTTAATATAAACACGTTGTTTGTTAGCTCCATATAGTCTGTGTGTATGACAGTGTAAGGTTATCTGACCTACGTCGACGACGGTGCCAAACCAATTGGTCTAGCTATTACCATGTACTGTATTTATACTGTTAATATAAACACGTTGTTTGTTAGCTCCATATAGTCTGTGTGTATGACAGTGTAAGGTTATCTGACCTACGTCGACGACGCTGCCAAACCAATTGGTCTAGCTATTACCATGTACTGTATTTATACTGTTAATATAAACACGTTGTTTGTTAGCTCCATATAGTCTGTGTGTATGACAGTGTAAGGTTATCTGACCTACGTCGACGACGCTGCCAAACCAATTGGTCTAGCTATTACCATGTACTGTATTTATACTGTTAATATAAACACGTTGTTTGTTAGCTCCATATAGTCTGTGTGAATGACAGTGTAAGGTTATCTGACCTACGTCGACGACGGTGCCAAACCAATTGGTCTGGCTATTACCATGTACTGTATTTATACTGTTAATATAAACACGTTGATTGTTAGCTCCATATAGTCTGTGTGTATGACAGTGTAAGGTTATGTGACCTACGTCGACGACGGTGCCAAACCAATTGGTCTAGCTATTACCATGTACTGTATTTATACTGTTAATATAAACACGTTGTTTGTTAGCTCCATATAGTCTGTGTGTATGACAGTGTAAGGTTATCTGACCTACGTCGACGACGGTGCCAAACCAATTGGTCTGGCTATTACCATGTACTGTATTTATACTGTTAATATAAACACTTTGTTTGTTAGCTCCATATAGTCTGTGTGTATGACAGTGTAAGGTTATCTGACCTACGTCGACGACGGTGCCAAACCAATTGGTCTGGCTATTACCATGTACTGTATTTATACTGTTAATATAACTACGTTGTTTGTTAGCTCCATATAGTGTGTGTGAATGACAGTGTAAGGTTATCTGACCTACGTCGACGACGGTGCCAAACCAATTGGTCTGGCTATTACCATGTACTGTATTTATACTGTTAATATAAACACGTTGTTTGTTAGCTCCATATAGTCTGTGTGTATGACAGTGTAAGGTTATCTGACCTACGTCGACGACGGTGCCAAACCAATTGGTCTGGCTATTACCATGTACTGTATTTATACTGTTAATATAAACACGTTGTTTGTAAACTCCATATAGTCTGTGTGTATGACAGTGTAAGGTTATCTGACCTACGTCGACGACGGTGCCAAACCAATTGGTCTGGCTATTACCATGTACTGTATTTATACTGTTAATATAAACACGTTGTTTGTAAGCTCCATATAGTCTGTGTGTTTGACAGTGTAAGGTTATCTGACCTACGTCGACGACGGTGCCAAACCAATTGGTCTGGCTATTACCATGTACTGTATTTATACTGTTAATATAAACACATTGTTTGTTAGCTCCATATAGTCTCTGTGTGACTGTGTAAGGAAGTGTTTCTCCATGTTGTATCATAGTTATGGACCAGCTGAAAACAATTGTCATGTCCCTGTCTTGTATTGTGTTATTTCACCAAATTTGATACTCGTATTAAAAAACAGATATATTTAACTGGAGCAATTCTAGGCTTCAAGTGTTGTACTTAAAAAGTAGAGCGTTCTATATAAAATTTGTCCTCAAAGGAAAAACATTTAGGCCATCAAAAACAATTGGCTCACTTAGACGTAATCATGTAAACATTTTATTTTGTATTTGACTAGACATTTAATGTATATTTTAAGGTAGTCGTTAGTTTTAGAACTCACATGAACAGTGATCATGTTTGATTTGGATCACTGACACAGTGCCCCCCCCCCCCTACACACAGACACTCACAGCCCCCCCAAACACACACAGTGCCCTGTTGCAAATATTGTTAATTTCGAATACGCTATATTTACCAAGTAAAAATGGCAAGACATCTTAATGTAAACTAGGCATGATTCACATTTACACATCACAGTAAACAACTTTTAACTGAGAAAATTGACTTTTTAATTTTTTAGGCATTTGGCAAGGTTGGCATCATCAGACACATCACGAAACTGAATAACATAATTAATTAATTAATCAGAAAACATAACCATAAGTGTAAGGATGTGTCTGATGATACAAGCATAGCTGCTGGCGAAAGACCTCATGAAGTTAATAATTCATTCAATATTGGTGATGTTTTTATTTTAAATTGAATAATGAGGTGTCTACCAGCAGTACATATTTTGTATTATTGGTTTAAATTATCAATACTAAAAATTTCATGAGAATTAAGTAGAATTTCTCGGACTATATTATTCTGATTGATCTTGATTCAGCAAAATTTTGCCCAAATTCCAACAACTTCAACAATACTTTGCCACGTAAAACAAATTTGGAATGAGATCAAAGCTTTGTATACAGTGAGTATTAACTATACTTGTAGTTAAAACTCTAATGCTTCTTATTATCAACATAACTTCTTCCTTAATGATACTTTGATATATATGGATTGAATATCATCGTGAGGTAAATAAAACATGATTATTGTTTTAGAATCTATTTTAAATATATTGCTAATCTAAAACAAGTGTATTCGGGGGAAATGCTTTAACTAAGTTTAATATTTTGTGATATGGAACTATAATATAATAATGTATTAATACAATACAGCACTTTTCAACAAAATAAAACTACTCCTTACAAGTATACAGATTATACACTAATAACGTGCAAATCATGTAATACAAAGTATTTATTTTCTCGTTATTAATTTAATATTGATAAGGTTATTTGAACTTACTGTTTGCATTTTTTACCTTATTGTTTACATTATCACCCACCAAATAGTCATAAAATTCTTGATACTTATCACTTTTAGATTATTCATGTAATTTATTCATGCAATTTTATACTTAACTATGCAATTATTCATGTAACTGTTCTACTTATCATCCACACAATTAGTTATTATTTTTATATACTTAACACCTACACAATTATTTATGTAAATGTGTATATCTAACACTAGAATATTTTTCATTTAGTGTATTCAGTGTTGGTTAAACATATAATGAAAATCAGCAATTAAAAAACAAAGTATCTAATTGTTCCCAAATTAGTGTTTATAATCAAAGCTATATCTACCACATATTCATATTCCGATACAAAATACTATTTACAATGAAAGACCAACACTCATACAAAGAAGTGCATGTTTAAATATTAAATGCCACAGACAGCTCTTTATACTCACACAAACAAACACATCGCCTTGTGGCACACCCTGTCTATATCAACATCACTGATAACATATCACTCAAGGTCACAGTGTTATCAGTTATCAGCACACGTGTCCATTGTCCATCGTCTCTTTGTCACTTTAAGATAAACAATGAAGAAAGGCTTTTGATGTCTTTATTGTGGATCTCGGTGTTTAGGTTGTTATCAACTTACTTCTCGTGTAGAATAGTAGTTTACGCAACTCGCGTAAATAGTGTTAACGACACGAGTAGAAAAAAATTGAGGTACGAGTAATTTAAAAACTTCTACGAGTGTCGTTAACACTATTTACGCGAGTCGCGTACACTACTTCACCTACGGACGGTTTTAATTACTAAAAATCACTACTCAAAACATCTAAGATAGTTTATGTTTTCGTTAAAAACCTCTCATTGTCACTAAACACTAGTTGCACTTATTGTTAATGATTAAATTGACAAACAGCTGATTAGTTGAAGTTCGAAGCATTACAATTTTACTTT